TGAGACTCCAACTCAAAAAAAAAAAAAAAGAACTCAAGCTCTGCGCGTCCTCGGCAGCATCCCGCGGGGTGCCTCACCTACCCATCTGTGAAGGAATCTTGGTCCCTGTTTCATCAGCGGCAATGTGGCTTAGCCCAGAGGTGGGCTCAGGCCTCGTGGTGGAGATCATGGTGTTATGTGTGCTGTGTATGATGCAGAACCCTGGGCCCAGGAGAGGTGGGGACACCGGAGGCCTGGCCTAAGTCAAGGCCACCCCGGCTGCAGATGGGCCCTCGCTCGGCTCACCTTCCGCCGCATAGAAGGCCTCGAAGCCCGTGAACAGCTTCTCGTTGGAGTAGTCGGAGCGGAAGGTGACGTCCAGGCTGGATCCGTGCGAGTAGAAGGTGTCGTTGCCCGGCGCCCGCTCCGTGTCCGTGCTCTCCCGCCCGCACAACGTGGCCAGCACCTCGGTCCCCGAGCTCAGCTGTGAGGTCGGGGGTCACGGGGAGGAAAGACAAGGCCCAGTTCTGCCCTCCCTCCCGGTCCGGGGCGTCCCCTGCTCCCCAAGGCCCCTAGCCCAGCCAGTCCTTGGGGAAGCCCCTGACCCCAGAGGTCACCCGCCGCTGGCACCTTGACGAAGTCATACTCGCAGAGATGAGAGAGCTCCAGGTCGAAGTGGGTGAAGTAGAGACGCAGGCGGAACCCAGGGGGCACCGTCAGGGCCCAGCGCTGCTCCTGGTCATTGCCGTAGTCCCCTGGGAAGCCGGGGGACGCCAGGCGCCCAAACACGGGCTTGGGCCACGCTGCAGGCCCAGGAGGACGAGCAGGTCCAGGGGGGCTGGCGGCCAGACCCCACAGCAGGCTCAGGAGGACGAGCAGCCTGCGGCAGGGCAGGGGAGGGTGAGGCCCAGGCCTGCTGTCCGCTCTTCTCCCCGCCAGGCGCTGCGGGCTCCCACCCACCTCATGCTGTGTCCGTCCGGTCGGCCAGACCTGGTCTGCGGCTGCTCCTCTCACCTTTGATCTGTTTGTCTGGCAACCCGGCCCTGGCCCTGGCCTCCCTGACCCTGGGATTCTGGGAATCGACCCCATGACTCCTGCCTGCCCAGAGGTCCGGACAAGGAGGATGGGGCACCCCAGAGGCCATGAACCGGGCCTGGATGACAGCAGCCTGAGAGGAAATCCTGGCTCTGCCCTCCCCGCTTCAGCTCCGTGTCCTCCCACCCCATGTGTGACCTCTGAGGTCAGCCTGGTCTTCATAACGATCTACACAGTGAGGGCCTCTGGGCCGAGACAGTGACTTCTGCTCCCAAACCCCAGATTAAGACAGAGGAGGGAACTTCTGAAAACACATCCATGAGGGTGGGGAATGTGGAGGAAGAGGCAGCAGCACAAAGTTCTAGAAGCTGGAAGAACAGAGACAGGTGTGGAAAACACTGCCTAGAAAGCAACTTCCAAGCTGGCAATGGAGGCCGGAATCCAGGGCACCAGGCCCTCCTGGCAGTGTTTGAGAAGCTAACCAATCCCTACTCCCCATCTGCCCAGGCAGAAACTTGGAGACGTTCTTGGAGAGTAAAATTGGGAGTCCCAGACCCAGCCCAGGGAATGGTAGATAGAAAACAGGGGCATAGCCGGGCTCGGTGGCTCAGCCTGTAATCCCACACCTTTGGGAGGCTGAGGTGAGCGGATTGCCTGAGCCTGCGGGTTCGAGACCCACCCGGGCAACTTGGCGAGACCTCATCTCTACAATAAATCAAAAATTAGCCGGGCGTGGTAGCGTGCGCCTGTAGTTCCAGCTGCTTGGAGGGCTGAGGCGGAAGGATCGCCGGAGCCCAGTGGATCGAGGCTGCAGTGGCCGGGAGCGGCCGCTGCACTCCAGCCTGGGCGACCGAGTGAGACTCCAACTAAAAAAAAAGAAAAAAGAAAACAGGGGCATTAGGCAGAGCACAGTGGCTCACACCTGTAATCCTAGCACTTTGGGAGGCTGAAGTGGGAGGATCGCTTGAGGCCAGGAGTTCGAGACCAGTCTGGGTCATACAGCAAGACCCCTGTCTATACAAGAAATTAGAAGAAAAATAAATTAGTTGGCTGGGTGCCGTGGCTCATGCCTAGAATCCCAGCACTAGGAGGTGGGGACAAGAGGATTGCCTGAGCCCAGGGATTCCAGACCAGACTGGGCAACATGGCAAGACCTCGTCTCTACAATAAATTAAAGGCTGCAGTGACTGTGAGTGTGCCACTGCACTCCAGCCTGAGTGACAGAGACTCCAACTCAAAAAAAAAAAAAGAAAGAAAATGCCATCAGATGTAAGAATAGGACAGCCCAAACTTTGAGCTCATGGTTTAGCACATTAATCACTAAAATTCCTTCATGTTCCCTTAACTGATCAAAACCACAGAAGTGATCATAAGACCACCCTTCCTCCCATCAGAGGTGAAGAGAGTGGTGGTTACCTGTGCTCTATCCTCATTAGCATATTAATTGTTTTGGAAGAATATCTGGCTTTTAGTTGAGAATAAAAGGGCGGGTCTTTTTTCAAAAGACTCATCCATGTCAGCTCCTTCCCCCTCTTCTTCTCACTAATAAACTTTGTTTCAAAACTTTGCTGGCCGCTCTGAAACTCATTTCAGGGTCTAGTCAAAGAGCCCACCTGTTTTGTGCCATTCTCCACCCGGCATCGCCCCTGCTTTGTTTCTGTATGCTTTCACTGGTGGGTTGATTTTGGGGGGCGGTCTTTCTTTCTCATGTTTGAGAATTTCCCAGAATTCCCTGTATGTTCTGCTCATATGTAAGAGTAGGGACTAGGGAGCATGTCGGAGGCTCCAAGCACGGGCAGGGCTTGTCACGTGACTCTCACTGTGAGTGATGCGGCTGAGTCATTTGCTGGTAGGACCCCGAAAGTCATATCTTCGGGCGTTTCCTCCTGAGCTGATCACACCTCCTGGGAAAGTGGGAAAAACCTGGGTGGCTGCCAGATTCTAAGGGTCGAGTTGGGAGGAAGCCTGGGCTCTCAACATCCAATCTCTTGGCTTAGCACCTGTTCTTCTTCTCCTTCTCCTTCTCCTTCTTATTTGAGCTGGGGTTTCACTCTGTCAACCAGACTGAAGTGCAGTGGCACAATCCCAGCTCACCACAGTCTCAGCCTCCTAGACTCAGGCAATCCTTCCACCTCAGTCTCCTGAGGAGCTGGAACTCCAGGTGTGTGCCACCATACCTTGCTAATTTGATTTTTTTACAGAAACGAGGTCTCACTTTGTTGCCCACGCTGGACTCAAACCCCTGGGCTCAAGCAATCCTCCTGCCTCAGCTTCTCTAAGTGCTGGGATTGCAAGCATGAGCCACTGCCCCTGGCAGTTATTATTTTTAGGGAAGGGATCTTGCTTTGTCGCCCAGGCTGGAATGCAGTGGCACCATCATAACCCACCATAGCCTCAAACTCCTGGGCTCAAGTGACCTTCTCACCTCAGTCTCCCAAATAACTGGGGCTACAGGCATGCACCACCATGCCTGGCTGATTTTTTTTTTTTTTTTTTTCA